AACCCTGGACCAGGAAAAGTCAACAAGCTAAGGACTCTATCTGGGGTGTGTACATAAGTAGAAAGCCAGATCAGAATTGGAGAGGTTGGGTACTGAATCAGCACCTGACCATGGAGCACCGGCATGACAACGGGATGTAGCTCCACGGCTACATTGCAACACCAGTGAGTACGTTTACTATAAACTCCTCCTTGAATTAAAGAAAAAAAAAATCTTACTTTTCATTATCAAAAAAGTTTGTGGAAAAACAGAATCAAAAGAGAATACACAGGGGCCATTGCTGTGGCATTGAAGGCAAAGCTACCGCATGCAACACTGGCATCCCTCATAGGCACCAGCTGGTGAAAGCTAACATGTCTGGGAGGATGGTCCAAGTCCTTGGGTCCCTGAGACTGTGTGGGAGACACAGAAGTAGTTCCTGGCTAATGGCTTTAGCTTGGCCTAGTTACAGCCATTGTGGTTTTTGGGTGGACGAACCAGTGGATAGACGCTCTCTGTCTCCCTTTCTCTCTGTAACTCTGCCTTTCAAATAATAAATATTCTTTTAAGAAAGAGAGGGTCCACATTTTCTAAGAAATTTTTGAAGGATCCTTGTATTTATGTCAAGGCTTTTCGGGGATTTAGTGGTAAAAGCCAACCCAGAGCTCACTACAAGTCACCTGTAGAGTTGTAGTGGATGATTACACTACATTAATCATCGTAAGTTAATAGTTTCTAAACTATAGAATGCATAAGAATCTCCTAGTGGGCTTCTGAGGTTTAATTCGTTGGTCAAGGGTATGGCTTAGGTGTTTGTATTTCTGGTGAATATAACAGAGTATGCCAGTTTGCTCTTCTTTCAAGACCACACTGAGCAAAGGGTGAGATCTGAAATCACTGGGACTTGAATCAGGACTTCCATTATTCAAATTCAACTTAAGAACACATACGTTAGTGAGAGCAGCCTAACCTGCAGGCATGTAAAACATCCAGCCTAGTTATACCTAGTCTAAAAAGGCATTTTCAGATCCATTTTTGGCTGTGTCCAGGCCTTCCATCAATGCAAACTGACATGACATTTGGACACTCCTACACATTCTAACCCAATCCCTTTTGTGAACACATAAGATCTGTGCACAATTTTATGAGTTAGTGTTCCCCTGAGAGCTACTTGTGCACAACACACTACACTAAACTGGTTATGCTGTGTCACTTAGTTTTAGGCAACACTGGCGGCCATAAACACCACCATGTTGTGTCTCATCGGGGTCAAAGGATGCCTAGGAAGGTGAAATGATGCATCTCAATGACAAAGATCAGTATTACAGGATAGAGTCAACCCTAACACCTGTACTCTCCCTCCCTCCTCCCCACTACGTAACAGTGCATGTTCTCCATCCCCTAGGAAAGACCATAACTGTGCCTTAATACACATATTTCTCCCACACTTCACAGGGTCAACATCTGCAGGTAACTAACTGGATCGTTCTTTATGAAGCCTGGCTTTTGCAGTTCCTCTGCTACACTATTCAAGCTAAACCCAAGGTCATCGTTATCCTGAAAACTGAAAAGATGGAGGTTGCCACCTAAAAAAACAGCTTTATTGTAGTTTTAAAGTATTATTTATTTGAGAGTCAGACAGCATATTCCCATTCACTCTCCACATGTCCGCAACAGCTGGGACTGTGCCTGGCCAAAGGCAGGAGCTGGAAGTCCATCCAAGTTTCTCACATGGGTGGCAGGTACCCAATCACTTGAGCCATAATCTACTGATTCTCAATGTTGGATTGGCCACAAAAAGGTATTAGGAGCAGGAGCTAAGACTTAAACACATGCACTCCAATATAAGACATGGACATACTAATTGCCAGGCTAAATATTCACTCACAGAAAATAATTTTAAGAATTGTTGTGAACCCAGGAATGAAGCCATTATATCCAAAAGACAGTTTCTTTTTAGGCTCCTGCTGTTCATTCCTACTCAGTTCAAATAATTATCCTTTTTACATAGCACTTACTTATGTTTCTTACTAGATTCCATCACTTTTCTTTATTTTCTTTATTACTCCACTCTCTTGGTTTTAGACAGGAAGAAGCTCAGACAACATAGACTTGAATAGGATCACTTACAGCCTCAATGAGTTTGGCAAAGATTCAGACTCAGCTCTGCTTGACACTACCTTGAAATATGCATCTAGATTCAAACCTCCCCAGAGCTTGTGCAGTCTGACAACTCAAAAAGACAAACTTCTCATTAAGCTGAAAATTAAATTGCCTAAACTTCTCATTCCACACCATATGGTCAAATCCCAGCTGACAGGAAGCTCATTTTTGTAGCACACTGGGCTCATTTCACTGAGTAGGTTGATGTAGTTGTGGGGTGGTCATTTTCAAATCTTTTAGCATTTTTAGTAGCAGGGATATTTACTTTCATGCTTTCACCCACATTTTTTACATAAAAGCAAAAATGCTCAGAATGACAGAGGGAAAGATTTTATCCTGCATAGTTCTCTAAGTAAAAAATTACAAGCAAAAATATACACCTGCTTTGCAGCAATCACAAATTAAATGATCTTAGAATTCTTATTCTAAGTCACCACAGGGTGAAGTTGGTGATGTCCTTAAATGATATCGCCACCAAGTCAAGTACATTAAGATTACGCCAGAGTGTTCAGAAATTTAAAACTAAGCTGTATCTTTGCAAAGTCAAACGTTGGCGCAGTGAGGTGACTCCTGAAGCACCAAGGAACTAATGAGGTTTGCCCTCCTCTCTAGTACACTCAATGGGAAACTCCCTGTTTTTTCCTGGGCATTTATTTTTCAGCTGGTAATGCACAGCAGTGTTGGATTAAATGAAAGTCAGTTTGAGTTTTTTCTTCAACTTAGAATTAATATAGAAAAACAAATTTCTACTGAGAGAGAAAAGCCTAAGGTGTAAAGCAGATAAGGTCTTAGAACTGATGAACCTTCACGTGTAGAAGCATGGTGTGATAGGGGCCGGGGGCAGGGATGGAAACACTGGTCCATCATTTGCTGGAGGATGAGCTTCAGCAAGTTCCTTCACTTTTGAAAATGTGACAGATACTAAGAGGGCAGAAAAGAATGGATGGTGTGTGAATATGAAGCAGGAGGCATTCCCAATACCTGGCTGGGAATTCTGGTCCTCATACTTCCTGGGACCCAGCCCAGCTGTCACCTGTGAAGTGTGGGCCATAAGCATGGTACCTACTTCCAAAGTGGCTTGTGGGATACCAATGTAATAATGTATTCAAAGCCAGATGTTTGGATCATAACAGTCATGGCCAACAGACTTCACCTTTTTTTAAAGTTGATCTATGTAGGAAGTATAAAGGTATATTCTATGTAGTCCCAGAGGATTCAGAGGGGGGAAGAATGAAAATGTACTGCTAAGATCCCAATGTTTGACCTCTCTTCTTTCCTAATACTCACCCCTTAACCCAGAACAATACTGGTCTTTTGTCTGTTGTATTTATTGAGGTTAAGTAAGAAAGCTCTATTAAAAAAAAATAAAACCTCTGCTACTGGAAAGCTTTGCTTGAAAAGTTTTGTTTTAGATAGCTCTCATTCACAGATGGGAAAAAGCAAAGTGTTTTAGACAAAGTAGATCCGGTTCATACATAACAAAGCACCTGCCCAGGGACTAGACTTCCCTGCGGTTACTCTCTCTTCTCCCTATAGACTTATTTGTGCTCAGCCACCTAAGTATGATCAGATGACCGCTTGTATTTCTCGATTGTGCTGAGCTGCCCCAGTCTGGTGGATGCCCAGTGAAGTTTTGGGACTGAAGAGGTGGAGCAGAATAAAGACAGAAAACAGGGATGTGAACTCACGTAAGGACAGTAAGATGAGACACATGTTTGTGTGTGTGTGTGTGTGTGTGTGTGTGTGTGTGTGCGCGCCTTGAGCCCAGGAACTCAAAACTTGAGGCAGTGGTAGAATACCCAGATGACATGGATCATTAGAACTCTGAGAAGATATCAGGGCAGGAACAGAGATCAAAGAAACACTGGAAAGGAAATTAGACACGATGCCTACCATGTGAGAGACGGAGAGCCATCAGACATGTAGACTAACTGGTGGTTAAAGCGACAACAAGAAGGAACACAGAAATAATGAAGAAAATGGAAGAGAAAAAGGAGTATAAATAAAGTGTAGAAGAACTACCACGTTAGATGGGCAGCTATAGAAGACTTCCTTCTGGTGTGCTCAAAGCCAATGATCCCAACAGTGGGAACACAGAAATTTCTGCAAATAATTGAATATTTGAGTCCTTCCTCTAAAGCTTCTAATTCAGCAATTAATGGTTAGATATGAGAGCCTATATGATCCAATCTGCCAGATGATTTTGAATATGAACCATATTTGGGAATCACTGCTTCAAGTCACAACGCCTTACTGAGAGGATCAGATGTGTCCTTACACATCTTTGCATGAAAATACATCCCCACTCAAAGCTCAGGGCTGGAAGATGTACTAAGAGGACTTCACAGTTTAACACTCAAGGACAGAAGGACAGGGGGGTAGGGTCCAAGGACTTCCAACAGCTTTGAGGTGAAACAATCCAGGCCTTTGGCCCAATTCACTCTTCCTCATAGCATTTGCCCTGGTTTGAATTAATATAAAAAGTGTCTTCTCACAGCTCTGGAGGTAGGAGTTCTGCAATCAGAATCCCAGGGTGGCTGAGTTGTGCTGTTGGCCCTCTCTGAGCCACACACCGCCAAGCCATTGCATCCTCACAGAATGGAAGGAGAGCCCTGGGATTTTGACTTTTTTACCATGGCACATTTACATTGATGAGATTTCCTTACAATTTAATTACCACACAAAAGTTAGACCTCCTAATAATGTCACATAAAAGGTTTGGCATTTCTACATATGAGGTTTTTGTGTGCAGGAGGGGGGTGGGTGGGATAGAAAACATTTGCTCCACAATGCCACTTGACTTTTCCCTTAAAGTATAGAGTCACATCCAATTAACAAAATAAGTCACGTTTACTTACCTAAAACTCTTAATCTCTCCGCTCCAACGACCACTTCATTGTCATCTGCTGAGAAGAGCAATTTTCCAGAAACAGTTTTTACTTCGAACTTTTTGCCATAAGCTTCTACAGCTTTTGGACCTATAAGGGGAGTTGGCAAGGGAAAAAGAAATGGGAGGCAGTGGGTAAAGGAAGACTACACATTACTCTTGTTCTATTTGATTAAAGTTTTCGTATCACATATACATATGGCAAGATTGTATCAGACCTTAAGGTTAAGCAGATTGGTTTTCAGAAGTTGACATGAAATTTTATCTTGACTTTAGCCATGTCTCATCAACTGTTTTTGATCATAAGCTCCAAAGCTATGATTTCAAAGGCCATCATGTCACTCTTACAAATGAATTCTTGAGTGAGATTTCCTTCCACTAGCCACAAAATCACTGTCAAATAGCTATAGATTTTTGCCTGAATGGATCAACATCTAAGATGCTCACCACCTCTTAAGGCAATTTTATCAATTTGGCCAGCCCTGTCATGAAGGAGTTCTTTAAATACAGCTAAAATCTGTCTCACTTTGTACCCTTGACCTACTGGCTGCATTTTAACACCAACACAAGTTTACTTTGTCTGTATATAGATACCTTCCTGGCAGATGGGAGTATAATACATTATCATTAATTGCGCTGGATCTTCTGAATATTTGGTGCCAGAAACTCACTCAATAATAAAACTCATCGATATAGTTTATGACAACATATGCTCTTATTAAGAATGAGGATATCTCCAGTGGATGTCAGTAAGACAAGGTCCCGATCCTAGAGAACCTATCCTCTGATACAGACTAGTAATAACTTAAACAAGCTATTAGTACATCAGAAAAATATAGGTAACTTGAACTGAGTGTTGTGGTACACAGAAGTAAACCAGGGTTTGGAATGCATGCATACTACATTAGAGCAGTAGCAGAAATCCTGGCTACTCAACTTTTGGTTCAACTTCCTGCTAATGCATTGTAAGAAGCAGTAGATGATGGCTGAAGTGCTTGGCTCCTGTAACCCATGTAGGAGACTAGATGGAGTTCCAGAATTCTAGATTTGGCCTGGTCAAGCCCTGGTTGTTTTTCTATGAGGTACAGTAGGAAGACAATAATATAATCTTATAGATAAAGAAATTGAGGATTATAAGGACCTGGTGATTTATCCAGGGCCATGTTAGCAGAAGCTGAGAGAATTAGGACATGATTTCCTCTCTTTTGAATCCAAATCAGATAGTTCTGATAAATAAAGTTACACTCTCCCAGATTTCCAGGGGATATGGTCAACTAGACCTTGGTGATCGCCTACTTGAGCATAAATAATCTCAACACACACTAATATCGGACATGGCTACTCAGGGACATGATGGTCCCTGACAAAAGCCAAGCACATGCAAAAAGACAACCGCAACTATGTCTGAACTTGAATGAATGCAAACACATTATTCAAACTATGTAAAAGAAGCAAATTCCTTATCTTGGCTCATAGGAGTGACTACTACTTCTTTATCCATAACAGCTCTGGTGGGGCTCTAGTCCCTCTTAATTTTGGAGAGTATCAAAATACCCAATCTATAAAATCCCATCTTCTTGACAGTGATCCAAACCAAACCTTCCTCAGCACTTCCTCAGTGCTATCTGAGGTCAAATCCTGTGATAAGTTGTTTCTTTAGCGAGCTGCCCAATGGTCGTCTGTGGTACCCATTCTTCCTCATTACAGGGAGTAACAGAGAACTGCCCCAACTACGGATGTGTTGCCAGCAGTCTTTGGGAGAAAGGCAGTAAGACCATTCCATATTTATTATTAATTAACATTCTTAAAATACCTAGAAAAAACCCTAAATGCCACACAAGGATACCCTGGATAATTTTGGAAGAAATACTAAAAAAAATGTTTTTTCCATAGGAGTTTAGGTACCATAACATTTTCCTTTGACTTAAGCTATGTCTCAGAGCAACGATTACACTCCTGTAGTTTTTGTGTTTTGATGAGTTTGGGTAGAACAGTTTATTTTTTAAAGATAGGTTTATTTATTTTTATTGGAAAGCTGGGTTTATAGAGCTAAGGAAAGACAAAGAGACTCTGAGCCATCCTCGATGGCTTTCCCAGGCCACAAGCTGAATGGGAAGTGGAGCAGTCAGAATATGAATTGGGGTCCTTATGGAGTCCCAGTGAATGCAAGGCAAGGCCTTTAGCCACTAGGCTACCACACTGGGCCTGGCAAACAGTTTTAAGTCGCCTCAAATTTTGGCAGTGAGGTGAACTCAGTTTAGAAAGCCTGAAATGTCTCCCCCTTCTGGAAATTTTAAAAGATGAAATGGTTATACTTTTTCCATCATACATGAAACTGTAGTTTTTAAAAATTTACCTATTCTCCATCTTCCACAAATGTAGGGGATCGTGGGGAGAGAGGGAGAATACAAAGACTGAAAGACAAACGCACACACACACACACACACACACACTCTAGTATACTGTATCCAGCAGTTCACTGCCCAAATGCCCAAAGGTATCCAGTGCTACTTTATCAAGGAAGTTTCTGAAAAATACGATGAAAAGTAGAGGATTGCTTTTTTTTTTTTTTTGGTTTATGTCAATTAATGATGAGTTCCTCTTACTGTACTTTCCTTACAAAGTCAAGGCAATTGGGAGACTGTGTCTCTTGCCAGTGCATCCACATTAGACCTTTATCACATAGAGGGGCATGGGAAATGTTTCTTAATGAGTGTAAGACTGAAAGAGCTTGGCCTGGTGCTTTAACCTGGTGGCTAAAGTCCTTGCCTTGCATTTACCAGGATGCCATATGGCCGCAGGTTCATGTCCCTCTGGCCCTGCTTCCCATTCAGCTCCCTGCTTGTGGCCTGGGAAAGCAGTCAAGGAGCCCCAAATCCCGGGATCCTGCACTCGCATGGGAGACCCAGAAGAAGCTCCTAGCTGCTGGCTTTGGATCAGCTCGGCCCCAGCTGCTGCAGCCAGATGGAAAATCTTTTTGTCTCTCTTCCTCTCTGTATATCTGACTTTGCAACAATAATAAATAAATCTTTAAAAAAAATAGTGAAAGAGCAGGGAGAACATACAATCTCCAATTTTCAATCACACTGGGTCCTGAAAAATATATTATTTTGAGATTACTTTGCCATTTAAGATGAGCAGCATAAATTAATCCATATTTGAGCTCTCAGATTTGGTTCAAGAAAAGAAAGGAGGTTTATTTGCCGAGAGTTAGGAATTTTCACCATTAACCCAAGACACCAAGGCACAGCAAGTTACACAGGAAGTCGTTATTCCAGCTGGAGAGGTGGGCCCAGGGCAGAGCTTTATTCCTGCAGGAAAGGAGGCCATTGGGAAGAGAGAGAAAGCCGAGCAGAGGAAGATGGCAGTGGGAGGGGAGAAGGCACAGAGCAGATACAGAGAGCAGTCTCCTGACGGAGTAAAGGAGTGGGCTCCACAGGAGAGAGAGCACAGAGTGGGGAAAAGCTGAGAACTGAGAACCAACAGAGCCCAAAGCCGGGAGAGCAGAGAGCTTACAGCCTTTATCTGCACGCAGGTAGATGGCCGCCAGGAGCAGGGAGAGGCAGGAAGGGAGGTGCTTTCACAGCTTAGGGGTGGGCACTGAGAGCACAGGATGTCGGGATTGGTTGGTGCAGTGCTGCGAGGGATTGGCGGAAAGGGCTGTCGCTTAACAAAACTAGGCATGAACTAAATAGCTTGAAACCCAAACCCAAACCAAAATATAAGGAAACTGAAAGCCTAAGGGAAACCGAAACCGAAACTTAAAGGGAGCTGAAGTCTAAAATGGTTGGGGCTCATTGCTCTTTGGGGCTGATGCTTGAGCCACTCCTCACACCTAGGAAGAAACAGCTTGGAGCTGATGTATACGGAGTGTATATGGAGTGGCCACTAGGATGTGAGGTTTGTTTGTTTCGATGTTGTGAGGGGGCAGGAAAGTAGATTTACAATGAGTGATTTGGTTGAGATTTTTCTTTAGGCATTACGATATGGCTGTGTTCTTAGCTGCATCAAAAAGCACTTGAAATCTGTGTTATCCATCAATATTTTAGGGCTATTACAGGGGTGTGAAGGTAGTAAAGTATGAAGGAATGAATGAGTGACCTGAGCACGATTTTGCACACTCTGGATTGAATCATATGGCCAAGCAGGGGTGTTCCCGGGGACTGGAGCCAATGCTTGGACTTGGCCTCCAGAAACCCGAGCAGTATCTTGATTTTTGCCTTCCAAGGAGCTGAAGGTGCCTGCCAGTGTATAGACAGATTACTTAGAGCTCATGCATTACTTCTGACACATAGAAAATGTACCAGAGTGACAACAGTCAGAGAACATGTGGCATAATTAAGTTATCTTGCTTTTCAGGGCTTCAGAAGCTCAAATGCAATTTACTCAGGGCCAGGGCATTTGGATACCTAAAGCTTGGTAATTGGTCATTTTAGCCCAAACCCCACAGAGCAACTGCTGGCTCCATGGTGAAGATGGCTTGTCCTTTGTCGATTTCATCCAGGACTGCCAAACTTCCTTCAAAAAAAGAAAAAAAAAAAAAAAAAACCTCTGGAGAGATGCAAATGGAGCTGGAGACGGCACAGAAAGTCCCTTAGAAAGCCTACTGTTCCTCTTTGGGATAGAAAAAGTATCACTATTCATAATGTGAAACTAATCTGCAGCTAATCCCCTTTGTGTGCGATACGCTGTGCGTGAAGTACCTCTTTAATTCATCTTCTCAAGAGAGAATTGACACCCATCAGGATGCACCGACAGTTTCGGTGTCACTCTGTGGCGGTGAGGCAGGGGGCAGGAAACGTCTTGGGGATAGGAGGCTAATTTCTCTCTGCAACTTGCACAATACTGGGACTCGGCGTCACTTCTGTGTGATGTTGTGTGACATCTCTACCATCATCCTCCTCACAGGTCAAGGAGTTTCGTAATGGCACCCACCACTGAGACAATAAATAAGCAGTATTATCAGTCAAATCCACATTTGTGAACACTGGCACTTATGGCCATTTAAAGCACCGTTTCATGTGGAAAGATTACCTGAACTTCTGACATTAGAATTTTTAATGGACATTTTTAAGATATATTTTTTTATTTTTTATTTTTTATTGGAAAGGCAAATCTAGAAAATCTACAGAGAGAATGAGATACAGAGAGAAAGAGCCTCCAACCACTGATTCACTCCCCAATTAGCTGCAATGGCTGGAGCCATGTCAATCCAAAACCAGGAGCCAGGGGCTTCCTTCAGAGCGCTCATGTGGGTACAGGGTCCTGAGGCTTTGGGCCAGCTTCCACTGCTCTCCCAGGCCACAAGCAGGGAGCTGTGTGGAATAAGTAGAATAGCCTGGATACAAACTAGTGCCCATATGGGATCCTGGGCAAGCAGGGCAAGGATTTAGCCACTAGGCTATTGTGCTAGCCCCTTGAATGGGCTTTTGAGACACTCTAGAGAAGCAAGAGAATTCCTGAATTCTCAGAATTGCCTTAGTAGACCTAACTGCTTAGAACAGGAGTGATGGAGCTCGCAACGAGTACATTATCAAATGTAACAGGAATCAGAAGTCACTATTAGAAACTACTTAGTACTTTGCACTAGTATGCACAACTGTAATGAGGCTGGAGAACACTGCAGGCAAACCCTAGGAGGATGTGTGTGGATGTGCTCGGATTGATATTTTCAACACTTTTGTTGTTCTCTACAGAAATAATGTATCGACAGGCTTCTCTTACCTAGTCATACAGTAGCTTTCTGCCCATTTTGTTGTAGCTATCTTGGGCCCTACCTTACGATTTAGGGAAGGTGTCTCCCAGCTCCCCAGAGGACCTACTTTGAGAATGCGAGACTGAAAGACAAAGACTATTGAAGGGACAGAAGCAAGAGAGAGAGAAGACAATGAGGAAGATGAAAGTATGGAGAGAGGGAAGGGTGAGAGGAAAGAGATGAGAAGGGGGAGTGAGAAGGAAAGTCAGCAAGAAGGGGAGACGGAGGAGGAAAAACAGGAATACAAAGGGATAACGAAGGGAAGAAGAGGAGAAGAGAAGTCAGCAGTAGAGGGATAGAAGGAACTGAGAATGGAGAGAGACGGGAAGGAGGTAGAAATATTACGCTCAGTGAAATAAGACAATCCCAAAAGGACAGACACATATGTGCTCTCTGATGTAAGGCCACATTCACACAAAATACAGAAGAAATGGATACACAGGTGAACAAGTGCATACACACACACACACACAATAAACATAAAAATGAATGGTACAATGCAGGTTCCTATACCTGGAAGTGAAGATACCTTGCGGTTTGCATTTCTATTCCCAAATAAAGGGAGGACTCCCAGGGAAACAGTTGAATATGCCTCAATAACATGACACATAATAGGATGCTACATTTTCTGCCTTTGTGTGCACATCCATGATGCATGTGAGTGGCAGAATGTTGAACTTGTAACTGTTGCTGGAGGACTAGACTGCTGTAATAATACGGGGCGGGGTAGGATAGTGGCAAGGGAAGCTGGAAAAGAGAAGATGGGAGGGAAAGGAGGGGATCTTTATACCGAAAGAACTATAACACGGAAAATAATAAAAACTTTAAAAAGACTCTTGTCTGAATAATACTATGTTAGGCAGTTCTAGCTTTATCGCAACAAAATCTCTGAAGTCAACCCAATCTCCCACTGCAAACAAATGGCAAATGGTCCACAGGCTCAATAAGTTCTTTTGAACACATCTAGGAGCTGGAGCTTGGATTTATGTCCCTCCTGCAGGCCATCTTCACACATGCTGCTTTAAATCATTGCTTACTGAAGCCATTTATTTAATTATTTAGCTTGGTGACTCTGGGCCAGATGTTACATGGCATGGGCAACAATCCAGGGCGGGGCTGGAAGGCCGTGTTCGTGAATTCTGCGCTTTGCCGTGCAGCCGTTGCGGCAACCTGCAATCCCCGAGTTCTGAGATGGGTGGATGAGCCAAGGCATCCTTGGCTGTGATTCTCCACGCATCCACAGGCGGCGCTCCCGGGAATGGGGACAAGAACAGGCTCTATCCCTAAATCCCTAAGAGAAGCTACTCTGGACACAAGGCACCTGTTTTCTCATGGCTTGTTTATTAGTGGGGCTCCAAACAGTTGAGTCATAATAATGTTTCAGGGCATTTAAGCAACTGGCTTCCCAAAATGTCCATCTGTACACTGTTCTCTTAGCCCTGAAGCCAAACAAATGGCATTTTCTGTCTGTAAGTATAACAATGCTCTTCTCTCTCTCCTCACACGTACACACATTTTCCTTCCACTGTGGGAGTGCATAATGCGGCCCTGTTTACAGCTGCTTAGAACCTACAGGCAGGGCATTGATCTCACCACTCAAACCACTGCCACGGCCACCAGGCCTCTGTTAATCATTACACTCATTACTGTGAACAACCAATCCCTGTTCAGATTTCAAACACACCAGCTTCAAGTGCAGTAATGCTTTGCAAGGCTGTTAGTAGTAGATCGGCTGTGTAAAAAGGAGTCACATTCAATGGAAACAGATACATCCTCATCTTACAGTTGAGTTAGACACAGCATCAGCACTTATGGCAAAATGGCAAGGATTACAGCTATCGTGAAAGCATCACTTTAAAACCCAGACAACATGGTGAATGATTTTGTATTTACTGTGCTCTCTCTCACTTAATCCAATATAGCTAGTATTTCTACCAGTGCTGGTTGAGCACCAGACATGCTGGCATGTCTGACAATATTTTTTATTTTCTTACAAGCAATGGATTTTAAATATGTGGGTGCAAGAGGAGTGCACCCTTTAATAGAACTTATGCTATAGTCTCATCTGTGTACTGTAAATACACTGGCAGACACTCTCTTCATGCGCATAGACTGTTTCAGTTCACTGTCAATTCTGCATTTTCTGAGTAACCTATATGATGTATGCATTGCCAAATTCTCTTACCTGTTATCAGCTGAGTGAGCACTTTAGTCTGGTCATTGAGAATGTTTACTGTAACATTTCTGGCAGATTTGAAGTACAGGGCATTACCCTATAACGAGAAAACAAGAGAAACACATAAAAATGGTTGACGTCTAAACCAAAACAAATACAATCCCAACTTCGCAAAGGATTGAATTGGTTTTAGTCACATTCCACTTCAGGTTTTTATTTGATACTCTTATTTCGATATAGAAGATAATTATCATTCGCCCAAATTAGATTTTCTCCAAAGAGCCACAGAAAGACATGGACAATACAAATTTCTTTAGAACTCACATGCACATATTATTAGACTTAAATCAGAGAGAGTGGAGACACATTGTCATTTAGATTGCATTGCAGATTTGGGTAAGCCTTTATGCAGAAACTGATGCAGAATGATCGATCATCTGCTGACAACACCCCTTTTAGTTTAGTTTACAACTTCTCCAAAAGTAGTATACAGGGTCCTTAAAGGAAAGCAGAAAGTTCACGTGTGAAATTCTGGTACATTCACCAGCTGGGAGAGACCTTTGGGGCGATGTTTGTAACCTTATAAACCAAACCCAGGAAATCTGGTATTCTCAAGTAGGCCTCCACCTCCCCTTCCGTTCTCTGCTTGTCTGCAGCTGGTTTTTGTTGTTGTTGCTGATGCTAGCATTTCCTACAAGATATCTGGGTGTTTACCCATTTTGTTTTCATCCCCACGCTCGCTCTCTCATGAAACTTTGTTGGGTGTGACTTAGAACCATGCCTGGCACATTTTCCTGTGATGGGCCTGATATTTTGTGGGCTTCATGGGATATTTATTTTTGTAACTACTCAGTTATGCTGTTTTGGTGGAAAAGCAGTACTAGATAGCACATTGACAAAGCAATATGGCTACATTCCACTCAGTCTTTACTCAGGCACTGTGGTATTAATATTTGAATTTCTTGTAATTTAAATTTCACATTTAACATTTAATATAATTTTCATATGTCATGAAATATTTTTTTCTCTGATTTGGTCCTTTCTGTTCAATCACTTAAAATGTGAATGCCATTCTGTTTGCCAGTGATACAAAAACAAGCAAAGGACCAAGTGGTGCCAAAATGCCAGTGTTGGCCAACTCCTGGCTTGGAAGTTTTGCTTTACTTGGAGTGCACAACAGGCTTAAATTAAAGCTAAGTCTATATCATCCAATTGCTTGAAAGAAAACAATTTGTTAGCCAAGTTCTATCTTTTTTTTGTATGACATCCACCAATTTGAAAATTTAATAGTACTCCATGTATTAAATTCCTAATAAGAAAGCCATTAAGCCACAGGTTGTGAAGTTGTAATGAAAATGAAGAAAGACACAAGTTAAGCTGTTTTTTTTTCAAGTCATACTTTCTAATGGAGACGATGAGATGGTCCAAGTATTCTAGTCAGAGAACAATAGCAGTGATTAGAAAGGCCTAAAGTGGGTGGGACACTCTCCTGAGGAATGAAGCTGTTATGTCTTGAGGTTGCGGAGGCGAAGCAAAGGAAACTTCCTGGAGGGGTTAACATGTGAGGCGAGACTTGAAAAGAAACCAGGTACAATTTCATTACGATGAAATGAACAAAGAGGGAAGAAAATCATGGTTGAGTGTTCAATGTCTTCTTCTTTGCAAAATTGTAACATTTCCTTGTAAAATCCTCTTGAGAGACGAATGACTAGGATTCAGAAAACTGAAGATCTTCCACTAACATGGACTATGTGTGACCCTAAGTAAACCATCTAATTCTTCTGTATTTAATTTTTATTCTCCACCATCAACATCATTATCAATCTCATTGTTGACTTAACAGAGTACTCCATGCATATTAAATACACTTCAGGAGACCTGAGGTGAGAATTCCTAGTTTTCTATGCCAACTCAACATTACAAGCTGTGTGACACTGGGCACATTACTAACTTGCTCCCAGTCTCGTTTTCTTTTTATGAATATGAAGAGAATATTAATCATAAAACATTAATACAGCTATTAAACTACATTTAATTATTAACATGTAGTAATGCTATGTACATATTAATTACTCAATAATTACTCAGGCAAGGAGAGGAGGGGATAAAGGACAGTGATGAGAAAGACATGTGGGGGTAAGGCAGAAAGGGAGATCTCGTGGCACATACAGCCCAAAGGAAGAACACGACCTCTGCCCTGCGGAGAGAAATACCCTCTCCACATGAGCACTAACCCTTAACAACTGAAGGACCTAGCACTGTGCAGGACATTGCCAGCACACAAGCTTCCTAACACAGAGAACCCCTGCCACATCTTTATCTGCGCAGGCAAAATCAACAGACCTGCATGTACCTTTGTCTTGATGACTTGAGCCACTCACATGAACATTCCTTGTTCTGTTCCATCTCAGAGGCAACTGTGTGCACACAGTTACTTAAACAACGCTGGCTCTCCCATGGTGATATTTGGAAAATGTTCTATATGGTTTTTAAAAAATGATCACTCATTCTTCTATCAAAACAGTACTTATATCAAATATTCCAAGTCTTACAACAAAGCACAAAAATCCCCATGTCTTGTTATAGCAAAAATTTTCAGCTTGTCTGGCTGTTTCTCTTTGCTTATACTGCTGCCTTCCTAAGGCCAGAATGCTCAAAGAGTGGGAAGTCTCTGGTCCAGAACCTAACAGAATCTGTTAAGCATGTTATATAGTGTGATCAGTAAAAGTACACTGCCAAAAGTTCACGGGAAATGGAATCAGAAGGCAAATTTATTTTAGTGTAAAATTTGAAATCCCTGCATATTTGTTTCATAACATGTATTTTCCAAGAATTTATTGAAACCTTATTTTTTTGTAAATATACTAATTGAGTGCCTGAAATAGTTTATATATGGTTTCTAGGTCCTGGAGATACAAAATACATGTTTTTTAAATTGGGCTCCTAGCCCAACGGGAGACTGAATTATTGAAATGAACCATAATAACAATAAGGTATAATTTTCATCGAACATTATGCACTCCTGGTAGGACAGGCACAGACTTGAATAGGTGCATTTGCTAGCATCTATCACCACATTCTGTTGCAAAGTGCTGTGACCAGCAGAAGTGACTTAACTTCATCATCTTGCACTGTAGCACCTTTTCTTTCCACTCAGAGGACCTCCCAGTTTGAAATTAGATAAACAGAGAAATCCACAAGACATTACACAACCAACCTCCACATTTAGGAAAGGTTTTGAACTCCCAGTGTGGATGAAATTCAGAGAAGGAAGGCATTTGTGTGGTTGGAATTCTGAAGCAAGTCTGCCCAGGGGAGTGTGGTTCACGCTCCCTTTCTCTTTCCAAGCAGGAAGGCAGACTGATTCACAATAGCATTGTTTCTGACCTTGATCACAAGGGAGCCTGGTCTTGCAAAGATTCCAAATGTGAGCTTTGGATCAGACAGATACAAGCTTTTATCACACCTCCACTTCTTCACTAATGTATGGCCTTGAGTACACCATTTATCTTTGAGTTGCAGTTTCTGCATCTACAAGAGAAAGTTGCAGGCTACAACACGGTGTTGGAAAAGAGAAGATCAGGGCCCAGGGTGGTAGCCTAGTGGCTAAAGTCCCTCGCTTTGCATGCACTGGAATCCCACATTGGAATGGGTTCTAATCCCAGCAGCCCTGCCTCCCATCCAGCTCACTGCTTGTGGCCTGGGAAAGCAGCTGAGGACGGCCCAAAGCCTTGGGGCCCTGCACCCGCATGGGAGACATGGACAAGGCTCCTGGCTTCGGATTGGCACAGCTCCGGCTGTTGTGGCCATTTGGAGAGTGAATCATCGGACGGAAGATCTCTGTCTTTCCTCCTCTCTGTACTTTCCAATAAAGAGAAAATAAATCTTAAAAAAAGAGACAATCAAGGAAGATAACAGATACAGAATGTCTGCACAGTGGTTACAAAAACAAGCCATAACTATAAACAAAGAAATAAAATACATTGGGAGTGCTCCTTAGAGGCAGGCCTGATGTCAGCACTCCGGCAGGGAATTGACAACAACCCTGGAGCATCTTCTAAAAAGACAAATAGAAAATTTTTTTTAAAAAATAAGTAGTCAGAATTTTATGAGTGGTAAAGGAATAGAGGAGGCTACCACACCCTGAATGGATCTTTGGTACAAAACACAAAAAAACACAAGTAAAAACTAAGGTCACCTGCACAGAAGATTAACTTTAGTTAACAGCTTGTTCTAATAAAAGCTTCCTTTCTCTCTCCTTTCCCTCCCTCCTCTTTTTCCAGGCTGTATTTGGCTGCGAAGTCCTGCCAGCCACAATGACTATTATTATATTTACATTATTATATTTACTAAGGTGCTGTGAGTCTTCTTTAGGGAGAGATGTTGCAAAGGCTGCCACCTTAGAGCAGACACGGATTACATCCTGGACTACAATCAGATTTAATCACATTACAGAATTTTCTCACATATTAGCTCTGTTGCCTTGGGAATTTGTCTTTAAAATATTAAGCGATGGTTTATGCGGCTTCTCAATGCCAGTTTTTCACCCAGGCATCTTTGTTTATATTTTTTCCTAGTCAGCTTACAGAAAGCAGTATAATCAGAAGTTACTAGCTTCTCTGGAAAAGGGTGTCACAATGTATCAACCGTATTCATCAATATTTAATCAAGAACCAGAAATGTTGGATAGAATCCAGAAAAGCTATCACGAACTTGGAGTTGTTAGGAACTCAGTTCCCAAAGAGTTAGCAGTGCTTCTTCAGGAAGCACCAAATGTTGGCATAATGCCGATTATTATATTTACATTATTATATTTATTAAGGTGCTGTGAGTCTTCTTTGAATTTGCACTTTCAGAAACAGGGCACATATTTTAAAATAGTGCTACAGGACAGCTATTCCCACCTCGCCCAGATACCTGTTTATGTTTGGGTGGTTTTCCACTGTTTTGAATTGTTTTTCTGGATGTGAATAATGAAGTGACACTGTGAGAACTTACTTAGAATAAGCTATCAAATGGTCCAGACCCCCAACAGTTGCATCCTTTGTACTGTGACCAAATTTGGGTGCATTTTGGTCCCTCACTGTTTCCCTGAGT